AGGGACCATGACAAAGACAGCCTCTACTATTTTGGAATCAAAGTGCAGGCACACAGCTACTTTATCCGGAAATTTAATTATGACCCCAATTACTTAGAAATACTGTAAGTAAATAAACAAAATTCCAGGGGTTGCAAATGCCTCTCATAACACCGGGGCTCTTGGTAGTCACCTCACAAAGAGGCCCCTGTACACAACATATAGACATTAGGTATGGTTTGAGATTCACCTGTTAATGATGAAAGCATAATCTAGTAGGGTATCTATATCTCTTCTCACTAGGTATCATCCTTCACAATTTGATTTTGAGACACAATCCACAATAACTTTAGGAGCATTAATAAGTTAATACAATATGATGCATTTTAAGTTACATTTATACCGAATTTGAGGGTTTTTGACTTTTTGTTTTGTCCGTCTAGTTGATCTTGTGTAACATATATGGTCAACATATAAAACAATATGTAAATAATAACAGAACTCTACTACATTTTCATAATTCCATGCCTCTGGATAGACTACATTAATACTTTTTCATGCAATGGGTAGATATGTAGAACACCTGCTAACTAATATCTGGTATTATAATTATTTTGATCCAAAGATAAGAGAGACATTGTGGACATTGTTTTATGATGAATATTTTGCTCGAAGCAGCGAAAGACGTCATAACATGCAGCTGGTGATTAGCTACTATGAGTCAACACTCTCACTCTCCATCTGTTTCTTTCTCTTCTCCTTTTCTATCTCTGTTTCTATCACTCTGCATAAAGAGATTCAAATCCTGTTTCTTCATCATGCAAATATTTCAACTTCTGTGGTGGAAAAACAAAGCTGGCCCTCTCTCTTTTGTGCAGAGACATCACAAGCAAGTGAGAATATAACAATTTGATGAGAGCAGAGTACAGGTGTCATGACTGATCATAGGGGCATGCAGCTTATTTAGCTTTTTTTTTATTTTGGATCATAATATTATAATTTTAGCTTAAAACTGTGGAAAACTATAAAACGTTTCTGACCAAACAATGGCATCATCATTACAAATCATCCGCTTAATAACAGGTAAGATTATTCTTCTATTTGATTTTCTTGGGGCTGAAACTCATTTTAAGTGTTATGATTAAATTATAGTTTTATTCATTTAATTTTCTATAACAGTTGCTGTGAGCTTTTTGTCTGTAATGGGAAACAAGGACAGACGTGTCAACATGAACTGTAAGTACAACAAAGATGTAAACCAACCAGCAAAATACTTCTGCACAGAGGCACTCTAGTAATTTGAGTTATTTACTGCTATACTTGAATACAAATTTCAGGTAATTAGGTAGTTACAGGTGTTTGGATTTTATGGTTGTTTTTATACCTCTACTGTTCAGTTGTGAGAAAAATGTTTTTACGACATTTATCAGACAGCTATA